GACTTTATATCAAAATCAATCAACTGTTTTTTAATCCAATAATTTTTGTTAATAGTATTTTCAAGTGCTCGATATTCAATTTTACAAATAGTGATCAATTGTTGTTTACTTATTCACTTTCCAGTATGCCTAATAATATTTTTTAAAAAGTACACACAATAAATTAGTCATAAACTTTCTAGTATATTTGCTAGAAGGTCGATTAACGTCTAATAATGTAGTAAACTTGGCTAATAAATCTGAAATTTTTTTGATCATTTAGTATACTTGAATTTGAGATACCTTAAAAGCTAATGAGTTGTCTAAATATATAATTCATGAGATCGAGACACATACTGCCTTAGCTTATGGACTACAAATGCAATCTCAGACCATGAGATAAACAAATATTATTGAGTAAAAAGTTTGCAAAACTAAAAAAGATTTCTGAGTAAATGACCTTCTTTAGCGTTTATGGAGTATTTTGGATCAATGAGAAAGTCTGCATGTTAAAACAATAAAGCTGGTATCATTAAGAAGTTGTAGGGTATAAATGCGTTGAAAATGATGGTTACCTATAGAAATCCTAGCAATTTCTAACCCAATAAAATATTTTAAGATTCATAGACAATTAAACTTAAATTGTAAACAAATAAAATCTTTAACTTGCTTTATAGCATCCAAAAAATGTCATTTGCTTTTTTTGAATTCTACTATTGTATTCATAGTTACACTCTCGTACCTTCAATAAAACCAATAAAAAAATAATGATGATGCAAATTTGTAACATTTTTATATCCTACAAAGAAGAAAATTGCAGTGAGTGCAAAATGATAATTTTTTATTTTGAATTATATTTTCAGTCTCATTTAACTTATTTTACCAACTCATTACAATGAAACCTATTTCACATTAATTTACCTTGCTGTTGATTTTTTCTCTTTCATTATTTTTGACAAATTAATACAAATTTTTTGGGGGTCTAATAAAAATAATTACCTTCGCATTTGTGACAAAGAATCATTCGGTCTCATTAAGAACAACATCATACATTTTATTTCGAAATGCAATCTAGCTTATTCACACCCCCATACATATATTTTCTACAAAAACATAAAGGTATGTAATTCCAATTTGGTGAAATATAAACTTACCAAGTTTTGATTTTAAAGATGATTGATGAATTATCGTCTTAATTAAAATGTTATTGTGTCACTATTTTTGTAAAAGTGATATCTGAAGTAATTATATATATCAATCATCGAACAAAAAATATAATACTTTTTTTAGATTTATTTGGACATTAAGTTTAACAATCAATAAATTATTATATTGTTATTTATAATTTACGCGTTAAATTTAATCACGTTAATTACGTAAAATATTAGAATAAAACTATTAATGAATCTGAGCTTATTTTTTTAGATAGAATGATATTATTAATTTAATTCAGGACGAATAGTTATCTCATGTTAATGGTTGAAAAATAAATATTTAATATGAAACTATCATAATAGTGAAATATTAAAGTTTAAACAGATTATCACTATAAATTTTTATTTTGTATATTTAGGGATAATAAATAAAATTTTTAATCTTGTTGGTGAAGTAGAAGAAACAAATAAATTCATTAAAAGCTGAAAGACAAATATTTAATATTATATGAATTTAATTATCTTTAAATAAATATGATATCTCAATGTATATTTAATTATAGATCATATTTTCATTAAAAATATTGATCAAGTTTTTTATTAAAATTTTAATACATCTCATTTGAAATAATATTATTGGTACAAAAAGTATACAATCAATACCATTTTAAGTGAAAGTGTAACATTATTAGCATAATATAATATATTCAATAAAAAATAATTAGAATGCATTGTTCTAATAAATAATGAATATACCATCAATAGAGTAATTTAATATTTAAGTAATTGCCTTATATTTGAAGGTCACAAATATTAACATCTAAAATATTAATATGTTGGTTGTATATTATAATTAGAACTAATTTATAATAAATAAAATTTAAATTTATTGATTAAATAATATGTGGATACTACCAGTGAAAATCTGACGTGTATATACGATTTTAGAAATTGAGCAATGAAGCACAACAAATGACAAAAAAGAGATACGGGAAAAGAAGAAATAAATTATGTGGGAGACAAAAACAAATAATAGTAAAATGTCTGAGCCCGGGTTCGAACCGGGGACCTCTAGTGTGTGAGACTAGCGTGATAACCAACTACACCACCCAGACTTGTTTGTGCGGTTGTCTTTAAAAATAATAAATACTGAATTATTGAACATTCGAAACGCGTATTCCTTTGCACATTTGATCACGGCTCCTGTAAATTATTCAATTGAAACCCTTGGCGTTGGGGGCTCTTTGGCTCGCTCTCCCTCTTTTCCCTCTTTCCCTCTTCAAGCTGTCGACCCGAAACTTAAATTTCTCACTTTTACTGGTAAAAATCTTTGTTGGCTTTAGTTACTTAACTCTTCAATTCTCTATTCTTTACTTCAGTCTCTGAATTTGGTTGCTCTCTAGAGGCAAGCTACAGTAACGGACTGACTTACGCTTTCACGGTTCGATTTTCTTCATCAACTTTGAAATGAAGGTTTGTTTACTTGATCTTCATTTGCGTCTCTTTTTACTGTCTGCGAGTTATTTTTGGGAGTTTAAGGAGTTCCCCGTGCACGCATTGTGTGGCTACTGGCTTGCATTCAAATGACTACGTGAGAGAAATGAGTTCTAATTTTGTTAACCGGGTGTTTTTTATTTTTGAATCTGTGATACTAGTTGATATTTCATTTCCCTTTTCGTTTATGGAACTGTTGAAGCTGATATTTCTATAATATACTCTATCCAAGTTTATTTACATGTCTAAAGTTTTTGAATCTTTAACATCTCTTTTTCTCCTCATGTTATTTTATATAATTTATATGTTAAAGGTACTCGGTGAGTTCTAGAAGCAGAAACGTGCATTAAGAACTTGGTGCCATGGTTTATATAGTTTTTTGGTGGAGGTGAAGGTGAATGAGTTTACTAATAAAAAGGCCACAAAGATTGCAGTTCTGATGACTACTTAACTTCTTCTTATGTCAAGCATGGTTAGGTGAAACCGAGTTTTATACATTAGCTGCCAATTCTTTTAGGTTGTCTTCTGTCCTGTTTAATGGTGGTTTTATCCATTTCTTTCTTCTGTATTAAGCATTTTACATTGCTTTTCTTTCTTTTGTTTAATAGTGATGGGTCTATATTTTGGTCTGTATACATTTAAGGTTTTAGGTTCCATCTTTTAAAGCCTAATAATGATGGAAATTAGCTGCTAGGTTAAAGGTTTTAATTAAAATGGTTAATGATAATTAGACTGTAGTATTTTTATTTGAGTACGTAACCTATTTTTGTCATTGACTTTCGTAATTGTTGAGGGAGAATCTATATCTGTTGTGCTTGGTTAACATCTAGATTAATTTAGTTTTTTGTCCTTTTGTGCTTAGAAATAGTAAAAGATTTTGTAATGTTATTTCTAATTTCTCTAGATGTCATCTATGGGGGACATATATAATCTGAGAACAGAAGTTCCCAGCAGCAACCTTCGTAAGGCAGGTGTTTCTAGTTCAAAGCCCCTTGCAGGTGCAATTTCAAAGGCGAAATCAGAGGTCAGTTGCTTGAACAATAGACCATCAGAAAGAACTTTTCATGTATCAAGACTTTCCATGTGAGACCACAACAATGCTAAATTTAGAATATACCTATTGCTGGTGTAATGTGTGGTTTCCAGTTCTGTCAAGGACCAAAAACATAAATGATATTGCTTTTACAATAAAAATCAATAAATGAAGTTGAAGGTCGAGTGAGAGTGATAAAGTCAGAGTTGATTTGTGGATGAGTGAATTGCTGTCTGTTTTTCTTCCATGATGCTTTTTACTTCTAAAGTTCACAAATAATCTGTATGACCAACTACCGTATTAAGGATCTTATGCATTTGACGAGGAAGCAAGGTTTTGATGGCATGTTGCTCGCTATGTTGCTCGAAGTTTGAAAGCCTGTATGCATGCTTCTTGATACTTGACCAGAATACAGATTTGTGTTTGGTGGTATCTGCTGACAAGGGGGAACTGCCCTGTTTTTTGGCACATCGTTGCTTGAGTACCGTGGGTGTTTTCTGAAAGGTTTTCATGGCATTGTAATTTTACAAGGAATAGAATATAACTGCAAATTTGGAGTGAATTATGCTGAAAACTTAAGGTGGTACGCTGTGTTATTGATCTGTTTGAATCTTCTAACTGAATTACTGCATCTATGTTGATATGGAGTCAAATTTTACTGGGATTACACAATTCTCCAAATAAATATTGAGTATGAAATCAAGTGAAAGCATCCAATCTGGCCAAAAAATGCGTGCTCAAATTATTTATACTTCAATAGACCAACTTTAACATGAGATATGGACTGCAAAACATGGTCTAAATGTTTTTAAGTGGCTTATTTTATCGGGAATTAAGTATTGCATCTCATTTTTCATTTCAGGAAGCTGTGCAACACTTGGCATCTATTGATCTCAATCAGTTGTGCAAAGAAGCAAAAATTGAACGCTGCCGAGCAACTAGGGACTTGAGAAGCTGTGGGCGTTATGTGCATTATGTGTTGAATTCTTGTGGACATGCTTCTTTGTGTACAGAGTGTGGTCAGCGATGTGATACTTGCCCAATTTGTAGAATTCCAATACAGAAGAATGAAAATACATTTAGACTTCGCCTTTACTATGAGTGCATAGATGGTGGTCTCATTTCTAAAAAATGTGATGAGAGATTTCAAGATATAGAAGATGGGGAGGATCAGTTGACTGCCGATGTTGAACGTCTTTATTCTTTGTTCGATGTAGCACTGGAAAATAACTTGATTTCTTTGATTTGCCACTGTATCCATTAATTATGTCTGTGTTTTCTTCATTGAAAATATACACCACACCCACAGTTCCAGTACATATTTTCCATTACTCAAACTAGATGTGCATATGCATACATACATGCACTTATGGAGCATCTCATAAGGAACAATGCCTCAGAATTATCTAGCAATAAATTTCCATAAAGAACGAAAGATAGTTCTCTTTTTCAGTAACCTATTTCTCTATGAAACTATAGTATTTATTTTTCTATGATTAGTTTCTGCACAGAGGCATTTGACTGAATTTTGAATATGAGACATAGATAGCCTTATATTTTTAGAGTATGTCACAGTAATAAATGATATATGGGCATCTATCACCATTTCTGCTGGAGTCCTCCTAATTTGCTATTTCTTTAAGAGGAGATAAACAGATGTTACAGATGTTTGTATGGACGAGACTGCTGTTTCTAGCGATCCAGTCATTGCCTTCTTGTTGGATGAAGTGGTTATAAAAGATTGGATCAAGCGAACATTCAAGAACATCCTAACCGAACTTGGAGGGATATGTATCCTGAAGACCTTTGAAATGTTTTAATATCTGAAATCTGTTATTTATTTTGACTGGATTGAGTCCGTAATTGGGCATTGTTATCCCATAACAATTTTCTTTAGATAATCTTGAGGCAGAAGGGATGAAAGCTAAGATGAGTTTACTTCTAAAGTATTCAATGCAGCTGGCTGGCATTTCTAGTGTGCTTGAAGTTTTGGAATCTTCTTTTAAGGGTACTCTGTCAGCACAGCTTCAAGACTTGCACCAACTTCAAGAGAACATATTAAAGACCAAGCAGGTTATTTGAAAATTTCATTCTCTAGTTACATGGATTTTTCATATTTTTTTTCATATGTATTTTCTTAAATATAGTTCTTATGTTTGGCCTTTTTCATTTTGTCTTTGTCATCTCTTTAACTATATGGCTACATATTCTTTATGCTTTTAGCACCATGATGAATAAATGGGATCTGCACTCTTTTCATTCTTGAGCCAGGATGCTGTGTTTTGTAGTGAAAGATTAAATTGATGAACCAACAGCGCCTAATTGTTTAGAGTCTTCAAAAATCATTCTCTTTAAGTTATGTAATCAGTAACTGGACTTCTATTGTGCTTATGAATGGACGCATCTGTTTCTTTTCCTTGTTTTTCTACTCTTGCCTGCAATTAAATGTATTAAGATGCTGTTTAACCTTTACTAAAGTACAGAGTTTGAGGAGAAATAAATAGTTGACTGTTGTTAGTCAAGATTAAAACTAGTGATTTTCAATGATATACTATTTTTTGACCTTGCTGTTCTTTTGCCTTCAGCATGTGGAGGTTATGATTTGGGGCATAAGACACCAATTTCTAGAGAATGTGATATCTCATTATACTGATTTTGCATCATGGAATTATCTCGTTCGTGAAAGGAAATCAGCTGCAATTAGACGTGCATGGCCTGATGTTGTAAATCACTCTGCAGAGTCTAGAGGACAGGACGGGTCCCTCTTTATTGAAGATGCACTAACAAATCTTGATATAGAGCAGTCACACACTCCCGAAGAATCAGAACTGGCATCTTTGCAGAAGTATGAGAACTCATCATTCTTTAGGTCCAAGATAGAAGGAGTTGCAGGATGTTATCCATTTGAAAATATTAGAGCTGCTATTGACATACTCTTTTTACATGGTGGTTCAGACTTGGTGGTAGCAAAGCAAGCTATTGTATCCTTTTTGCTTACATTCTTCAAATATATTGGTTTACCATGTCTAAAATCTTCTTCCTCACATCCCAACAACCCGAGTTTTTTGGTTTTCTTAATGATGGCACAGTTTCTCTATTACATGTTTGACCGACATTGGACAGTGCCTGATGAACATTGGAGGCACATCATTGATGATTTTGCAGCAATCTTTGACATACCCCGGCATTTGTTACTAGAATCTTTTATATTTTATCTCTTAGATGACCACACAAATGAGGCACTTAAGGTAACATTTTTTTCCTCCTCTCTTCCATGGACTTCCAATTTATTGCTGTTATTTAGTTTAAAATTTTTTAGCTCTTGGTTTCTTTTGCTGTTGAAATCTTTAACTTGGTCATCTTAATTGTTCTGCCTGCATAGCATTTAGATTGGGAATTGAACCTCATGTCACTTGGTTCCTTAAGGAGCCTTGGTGGTGCCACCTGAGCAATCAGGCTCTGGCCTATCATAGTTCCAGTTCTGGGTCTCAATTAGTATAGTATATTGGGATTGTATATTCTAGGAAGTGGCATATTAATGCTTCCTTCGTGCCTGCATAAAGGCACCCTTGTAGCATATTGCAGTGTCAATGTAATTTTCTTTTACAAAGCGGACAGATCCGTGTTTCATATTTTTTTTGCAGTTAAACTTCTGAATGATCAAGCAAACAGTTCATATAGTTTTTGGTTTATAGCATTACTGTAACCTACCTGCATTTAAATGTGCATTCTAAAAAAACATAAATTAATTTAATCAGGTTTTAGAAGAACCACTTGCTGGCTTTAGCATTAGCTAAGTTATGTTATTTTATCATAGCTTATTGCCTTGTGTTTGGGACAAAATAATTCCTTAACCTAAGGTTTATCAGAGAAGGAATAAAAAGGAATAAGCTTGAGTAATTGCTTATCTATGTGTGTTAGTTTAAATGTTATTATGTGGTTTTTGGAAGCACTCATAGTTTATTCGATGAGAACTTGGCAAAAGTCTTGAATAACCTGTTGCTCATCATAATGCCCTTCAGATTGTGGTTGCTAATAGTGAGAAAATTCCTAGCAGACAATTTTTTTGCTGGATTTTATTCTCCTTGCATTGGCTGGATTTAATTTGGTCTTGGGAATTAATTGGTTACAAACATTAGGCCCTGTTACATCGGATTTCAAGCCTATGCAGATAAGTTTTGTGTTATAATGCTCTAAGGTGACTTTGCATGGCATGTTGCTATCTTTTTTTTTTTTTTAAATAAAAATGCATTAGTATATTAGCATGGTACCAAAAAAAAGGGGTACCAACCCATTTACAAAAGATTTACAGTGTAGTTAGCATATCAATGACAATTCCAAAATCTTCTTCACTCATCATATATGTTGGAATCTTCTTCTCCCATGCCTTCTAAAATTCATGCAGCTTTTGTTAAAGATGTGGGTCAATCGGTTTCTTTGAATCAAATGTTGGATGAGTTTGATAGCCTCTTCCAAGAGCAACAGTGGGTTCAGTGGATTCTAGGGCTGAGTATGCTTATAGTGCAGGTTATTGCTCTCCCTCAAGGCTACTCCCTTTGAATTATTGATGGGAAGGGAGGTGCCACAACTCCTCTCATTGTCTGGACTTTCTGAATTGAAGGCTGTTGATTGTGAGCTTGAGGACAGGGACAAAGTCCTTCACACTTTACGGGTTCAGTTGTAGCAAGCTCAACAAAAGAATGAAATAGCTTTATGATAGTAGCCATTGGGAAGTGGTGTTCCAAGAACTAAAACCATATTGACAGATTTCACTGGGACACAAGAGAGTGCATAAGCTGTCTCCCCCTTTTTACGGGCCTTTCAAGGTCATATAGAGGATTAATGAATTTGCTTAGAAATAGATTTGCCACCCTCTAAATTGCAACCAGTTTTCCATGTTTCTTCTCTTAAGGCCTTTCATGGACAGCAGGGGGTTTCTTCCACTCTTCCCGTTTTTCATCATGGAATTCCTCATCCTTAACCTCAATCTCAGTTGGCTTCCCAAACTCACAATGCCAGCATGAAGTTCTTATTCACTGGGAAGGTCTATCACCAACTGATGCCTCATGGGAAAGCACTGGTCACATGCAACTATGCTATCCTCATTTTTATTAAGGAAGGAATAAAAAGGAATAATCTTGTGTAATTGCTTATCTATGTGTTAGTTTAAATGTTATTATGTAATTTTATTTAAGTGTGTTTAACTAAGTGTTAAGTATGTAGTAGGGTGGGAAATAAGTATATCGCAAGACGAGTAGTTTAGGTAATTCTGGAAATTCAAAAATTACAGAATTAGCTGCTCTCTTTTTATATATCCTCCGCTGTGAGAGGGAAAAAACATTATATCTGAAATTATTCTTGAATTAACAGTAGTTTTCTACTCTAGATATCATAGAGTTCTCTTTATCCAACAAGTCCTAATTATTTCTTTAATTTCTAAAGATATGTAAAGGCAAAAAATCAAAGAAAAATGTCATTCTACCTATTGATTTCATTGTGAATCTTCCCATAACACGATCCATAAGTAGGAATGGTAACATTATGTTCTAATGTGAAAATTATGTTGCATGTCTCATGTGTTGGGATGACTGTGGAACAGCTTTGTTCTCCCAACAATATTGTTTTTATGCTCAAGTATTGTTTGGTTTGCTGATTATTTTTTTGCCAAATTATATGTTTAGGAAGCTTGTCACCTTCTTCCAGAGATTTGTGGCCCGACGACTCATCCTAAGATTGCACGAGTTTTATTAGAAAGGCAAAACCCTGAGACAGCTCTTATGGTCTTACGTTGGTCTGGTTGTGATGGTGGATCACGGTTGGTTTCACTCAGTGAAGCTGTCACTGCCGTTCGTGTTAGGGTGTCGTGTGCTCTTGTGATGGAAGCATTTACTTATCAACGGATGCTCTGCACAAAAATTAAGGAAAAGAAGTTTGAAAGGAAGTTGAACTATGCTACAAGGAGAGGTGTTTCTGATGATCCTGAAGATGAATGCAAAAGTTGGGTGGACTGGATGGAAACTTTGGTCACTGAATTTTGTTGCCTTTGTATATGGAGGAATTGGATCGATCAGATCATAGAGTTACCATGGAATTCTGATGAGGAGAAATATCTTCATAAGTGCCTGTTAGATTCTGCAAGTGATGATCCTTTATCAAGTAAAGGAAGTCTTCTAGTAGTATTTTATCTTCAGGTAACTCTACTTTTTATCCATGTTATCTATAGTCTAGCCTACTCGAGATAGTATATTAGTTTCTTTGTTCTTTTTTTTTTTAAGTCCTAAAACTATAGCCGGCTGAGTTTTTCAAAAATTTTGACCTCTTGGATTTAGCCATACTCATCTCAGTGAATGTTAACAGAGATGCCCAATGAGAAGTGAGGATCGTGATCAAGTCTCAAAGCTACTGCACCAGACTTTTTCTGTAGTTTTTTTTTTAAAAAAGTTTTTTGTTTGGACCACTTCGAAGCTTATGAACAATGTGTTTCTCGTTGCAGCGCTACCGTTATATA